ACTCCCAAGTCACAACACAATCCTAACCATATTGAAGTCCTGTTGGATTCTGTTGTGCTTACCCCCAGGTAATAAGGGATGGGATAGCAGCCTATTTGTCTATATGTTTGCAGCCTAAATTGGGTCTATCCGTACCGTTTTTCACCTTCAAATAAGGAATGCATGTGCTCTTCTTGAGTGAATATTTTATACCTTTGTGCTTCTGAAAGCTGATCTGCAGCTATATCGTCTTATACTGGAAGCACAGCCTTGAAAGGGTTTTTAGAATTTTGTTTTCTAATACCCCCCCCAAATACATATTAATGTTATCTAATTTGAAAAATGTCTCTCTCCTCAGTCCTGGATCCCTAAAAACATTTCTCTCTGAATAAAGCCATTCATGCTTAGTTTGGCTTCTGTAGAGAATTCTATTAGCGATGTAAGCCATTTTGACAAAAGCAAATGGTTGTTGTGTTGATATCTTGAGAAAGAAAGCATTCAGGATGTGAAATACCACATTCAAGGAGAAGGGGGATCACTTAAGAGTTTGACAAGTGAAGATAACAGACTGACAGATTTGCCTTCATTCAGACATGGCATACAACTTCAGCTGACAGTAAAGTTCATCATTAAATTAGCATACTTGAACCACATTGGCATTTACAAATCCCACACAACCTAGGATTCTGACATCCCTAATGATTTTCTGTGACACAGAATAGTAAAAAGTTTCATGTTGCTTCATTTACATTCATCAGTGTGCACTACATGGATTTCAGTCTTGCTGTGCACATATTGTTGCACACGACCCCAATCTTCACGTGATGTGAGATTCCAGGGTTTCCAGGCACTTTACTCAGAGTTCATGTTTCCTTGTAGGAATGAGGCACAGCGGAGACTGTGGTGTCTTTATGATAAATGGTTTATTTACACATACAACCTGGGCCTACAACGGAGGGGTTCACGGCGCCCCCAAAAGAGCCTTAAGGTAAAGATAAAGGGACCCCTGACCATTAGGTCCAGTCGTGACCGACTCTGGGGTTGCGGCACTCATCTCACTTTATTGGCCGAGGGAGCCGGCATACAGCTTCCAGGTCATGTGGCCAGCATGACTAAGCAGCTTCTGGCGAACCAGAGCAGCGCACGGAAACGCCGTTTACCTTCCCGTTGGAGCGGTACCTATTTATCTACTTGCACTTTGATGTGCTTTCAAACTGCTAGGTTGGCAGGAGCAGGGACCGAGCAACGGAAGCTCGCCCCGTCGTGGGGATTCGAACCGCCGACCTACTTCCCACATAGTTGCAGAACTGGAGTGAAGCAGAAATCAAACACTGCTCTCTCTTTAGTTTGCTGCTTTCCTTCCTAGGTCAGATCCCTTGCTCCTTTCAACTCTAAACTCTGGCTTTTGTCTTTCTCACTGAGTTAAGGGAGGGGCCCCACCTATTTGCCATCTCCCACAGGGCCCCTTTCTTTATTTTCCTTCAACCTCACCAGGAGGCTAGTCTGGCTGTTTCAAAAATTAGAAACCTTGATTAGATTTTAACACTTGCTGGGTCCAGGGATTAGAAGGGTGTGACATACAGTTTAACACCCCAACTCATAACAATATGCATGAAAAATGAAATTTAATAAGGATAATAAGAATTTCAATAAAATAGACTAGTTATTTCAATATAATTACAATTACAGCTCTTTTCATTTATTGCATGGTGGTTATACAATATATATGCAAAGATGCAAATTGAATAAATAGCAGAAGTTACTGTTCCTTCATTTGCATTAGCATTCCATGATTGTACAACAACAAATCCTCTGTTTATATAGAAGTTCATTCGGCTTTCATTGAAACTCCTTATCATGATTAAAAACCTACTTAAACTGGTACAGTTGCTCATATAGAAGCAGGAGATCTGAAAGAAAAATATATGGAAGATAAAATAAAAATTTAGAAGGATTTATATTCTTGTTCTCCTACTGCTTATGCTTCTACTGCATTTGATCTCTCTCTAAATAGGTGTCACTACAAATCCTCTTCCCCAGTTTGATGCTAGGGTGAAATTCCCACAGACTAAGGCCACATCTAAGTTATACATTTAAAGCACTACCAAAAATTATGTGGCTTCCTGCAAAGAACTATAGTTTAAGTGTTCTGAGAGTTGTTAGGACACCCCTAGTCCCCTCACAGAGCTACAATTCCTAGAGTTACCTGTAAAGAAGTACAGTGGTACCTCAGGTTACATATGCTTCAGGTTACATACGCTTCAGGTTACAGACTCCGCTAACCCAGAAATAGTACCTCAGGTTAAGAACTTTGCCTCAGGATGAGAACAGAAATCGTGCAGCAGCGGCGTGGCAGCAGCGGGAGGCCCCATTAGCTAAAGTGGTGCTTCAGGTTAAGAACAGTTTCAGGTTAAGAACAGACCTCCGGAATGAATTAAGTACTTAACCTGAGGTACCACTGCATTGTGTACTAGAGTAGAAATTTAGCTGGCTGATTGCTTGGGTTAGTTGCCACCAATTTTTTTGAGCTAGGAGGCACATTTTGAATTTTTAAAAATTGGCTGCTATATGTGCGTGACATAACACAAAATGGTTGTTGTGCCAGAGCAAATTTATATAGTATTTTTGGACTTCCCTAACTTAAACAGCTTTGGGTATCTGTTATGATGGAAATTAAAAACAAAAAATATCTAGGTAATGACCTGGGCTCAGTGCTAGCTGAAGATGTGGAAATGGTAACTTATTTCTTAATAGCAGCCCAACTGACTATCACTCAGAACTGGAAAACGGTAATGCTGCTCTCCATAAATGACTGGTGTCTTAAAATTTGGGTAAGAGTGGAGTGGAGATGCTCAGCTGTTCTGACTAAGCTAGCTTCCTGCCAGGAGTTAAATGTACAGGCAGCCAGGTCACTATCAGGATCCTCCTCAGAGGCAGCCAGCAGAAAGCCTTAAAGCAGGGCATTGTGGAGGGGCTTGGGCTGAGCCAGTTGATAGCCACTGGATCCCAAGCTGGTTTCACTGCTGTTGTGCACTGACAAGATCCATGTCTGAAAACTACATTGGCTTCAGGCTGCTGCAGCGTCTTACTGGCCCCCCATCTTCTACTTGTGAGCAGCTGTGAATGCTGTGGTTGCTCCACTGGTCCATAAAGTTCCATCAATGGGGTGGATGGGGTGGATTGCACCCTAATATGAGAATTAGTGAAGGGAAACAGCAAAACAGTGTATTTATTGAGAGCCTTTCAATACTGAAGGAAAAATGCACAGGACGGCATATAATCTGTTTCAGAATAGATTTAAAATACCATTTTCTTCCTTCACTTTTCCTTCCTTGGATATTTTGGTTCTTTCATTACTATTTCTTAGTTCTATACATACTTTTGCATTGCTACATTAATGTAAAAATTATTAAAATTTATTATGATAGCTGTTACTGTTGGACTGAATAAACAAAGAACCATGTATGCCATCTTGAGCTCTTTGGAAGAAAGGTGGGATACAAATGTAATAATAAAACTTTATTGACCGTGAAGTTTATTAAAAGGGGTGGATACATTTGCTTGATTTTTATATGTATATAAGGATTCTGAAAAGTAAGAGGGTGTGATCCTTTGTCCTCACCCACTTATTTAGCACTTCTGAATCCTCTGTTTTTCTCATTTCACTGGCTCCCCTTCCCCATCCTATAATTTGGTCCTTCATCAAAGAACCTGATGCACAGACACATTGATTGCTACAGCATTGCAGCACTGGCCCTTTGCAATGTTAAATAGAGCTCTCCACTGATAGAGGACTTATCTTTCCAGATTACCTTTACTTTGATTGGTAGTTTAAAAAGTTTGGCTGCCTTTTTCTAACTAGAAAAAAGAAGAAAAAGCCACAAAAAGGTGGATTTTAACCCTCTCCATAAAATAGATTTTTAAGAAGTGGTTTGAAACCCAAAGCATATCTTCTGAGACGTCCCACTGAGTTAATGGAACTTACTCCCATGTAAGTGGAGATTCCACTGCAGCCTGAGGCACAATTACGTGGAAGTTAAGTCTCACTGGTGCTTAGGATTGCACTGTCAATCTATTAGACCCAAGGTTTAAAGCTCAATCTTGCACTAGTTAACCAAGAAGTAAGTCTGCATGCATTAGCTTGGGTTGACTCTAGTAAATGTGTTTAGGATTGCAATCTTGCAGTGCAGTCTTATGCACGTCAACTCAAAAGTAAATCTGAGATCAATGAGATCTACCCCCAGGTAAGGGTGTATAGCATACAGGACAATTTTTTTTCTTTTGAGGGCTGCATTCTCTCAGAGAGAATTCTGCTGAGGGCCAGAAGTTGCTGGTGGAGCCAGACGCAAGTGTTCTCAATTAACTAATATAGAATACAGTTCTGCTTCATTTTCACCATGGCTACCTCAGATTAACATTTCCAGTCCTATACAAGTCCACTCAGAGGTAAGTCTAACTGGGTTTGATGGGCAGGGGCCTGTCTCTTTCTGAGGTCATTTTTGAGGTAACATACTTCTGCATACCTTGGGGTTTCCTCAGTTTGCCCAAACTTCTTGTTTGTTGGTGGCCCCATTTTGACTCGAAATGAATTGGCATTCTGCAGCCATTACGATTCCCGATTAATAGCATGAGAAAGATACACACTCCCTCCCATCCATCTGAACCATTTTTCCCTCAAACCAACAATCTGAATGCAAGGCTACTCTGGTGCAAGTGGCTGATTACTCCTGACCAGAAATACCACTTTTAAAATTGATATTTGCCCTTCTCACATCAAGACAGTTCACTCTTGGAAAGAGAAGCAGAGTTTGCAGAAAGGTCTTCTCCTTACTCAGTGTAGGGTGGGCAGGCACCCTAGCATGTGTACAGCGCTAAGAAGGTGCATTCTTGGGGATTTTTTTAATCCAAGAGGACAGTTGTCAGTTATTTCATGAAAGATGATCACGGTCCAGGGAAATGCAAGCCAGTATTAACTTATAAACTTGTCACTCTTTAGCAATTTAAAATCACCTATAATTAATTCTGAAGCTCAACATCAAAAAAACGAAGATCATGGCCACTGGTCCCATCACCTCCTGGCAAATAGAAGGGGAAGAAATGGAGGCAGTGAGAGATTTTACTTTCTTGGGCTCCATGATCACTGCAGATGGTGACAGCAGTCACGAAATTAAAAGACGCCTGCTCCTTGGGAGAAAGGCGATGGCAAACCTAGACAGCATCTTAAAAAGCAGAGACATCACCTTGCCAACAAAGGTCTGTATAGTTAAAGCCCTGGTTTTCCCAGTAGTGATGTATGGAAGTGAGAGCTGGACCATAAAGAAGGCTGGTCGCCAAAGAATTGATGCTTTTGAATTAGGTGCTGGAGGAGACTCTTGAGAGTCCCATGGTCTGCAAGAAGATCAAACGTATCCATTCTTAAGGAAATCAGCCCAGAGTGCTCACTGGAAGGACAGATCGTGAAGCTGAGGCTCCAATACTTTGGCCACCTCATGAGAAGAGAAGACTCCCTGGAAAAGACCCTGATGCTGGGAAAGATGGAGGGCACAAGGACAAGGGGACGACAGAGGACGAGATGGTTGGACAGTGTTCGTGAAGCTACCAGCATGAGTCTGACCAAACTGCAGGAGGCAGTGGAGGACAGAAGTGCCTGGCGCGCTCTGGTCCATGGGGTCACGAAGAGTCGGACATGACTAAACGACTAAACAACAACAAATAATTAATTCATTATCTGATTGAGGTCCCATTCTCAGGTAAGCGTACACAAGATTTAATTTGGATTACATTTGACCAGGAAATCCCTACAAACATCTGCCTGCTGATATGCAGATTGTTGAAGTGTTAAAAGAAGTCAGTAGAAAGTAACACATTTTAGAACAGTATTTAAAAAGTGCTCAGTCAACAAATATCAAAATGCTTGAACTGTATATATAAATGCTTACATCCTTTGTTTAGAGTACTGTAAATGTTTGTAACTTCTGAGAGTGTAGTTTTAAAAGTGTGTGTAGCTCTTGAAAGTACCGTACTCTGGTGGTTTTCTTCAGAAAAAGAATTGCAAGAGATCCTAGAACTGTCCTTTTGTGGAGCGGCTACTGTGCCTTCACGTAGCATCTTCACAGCAGGTAGACATTCAAAAGTTGAAGCCTACCCTGACATGAAGATATAGCAATGACGTGTGCAAACTCCACCCATTGAATGCAGCTGTTGAAGGCTCCCATTGGGAGCAGTACCGGGGGAGGGGGGAGTAAATACAAAGTACACTCAAGTCAACCAGACTAATAATAATCATTCTTGTGCTGCTGTTTCTCATCCTGTTTTTGTTTTAATTTTATTACCCTGAGTCACTGCGCCGGCAAAATATTTCTGAGAAAGCTCCCAGGCTTGCCTCTCCCCACCCCCACCCGCTTTGTGTGCCTGCGTATGAGAAGTTCAGGAACTTGTTTTCTCCCTTGTTGGAAAAGATGACACGCTCTTCCGATCTTCCATGTGGAAAAGCGACGGCGGCGGCTCCCGCCCCCCTCCCGACCAAGTAGCGGTTTCTCTCCCTCTCTCTCGTGTCACGCTCCAAAGTGATGCAATGGAGCAATGCGCTGCGCCTTTAAGGGGGCTTCGCTGCTGCACATGCTCAGCTCTTCTTTGTGTGGTAGTTTCTCGGCACGACTCCCCTGCAAAGCTGTAGGGGAGGCTGAAGCAGCAGCAGCAGCAGCAGGAGGGGAAACAGATACACACGGCGTTGCAATCCTTTCTGCTGCCTCCAAAAAGGCGGCGGGGCGACGCTCCTGCCCTTCCTGAGGCTTCCTTCTGGGGCGGCTGGGACAGGAACTTTCGGAGAGGGCGGGGAGGGGGAGAGAGGGAGGGAATCCGCCGCCAGCAGAAGCCTCTGCGCCTCCTCTTCCCCTTCACTTCCAGCTGGGAGCGGGGCTCGGAGCCCCCCAAACCCTTTCTCGGCGCAGTTGCTTCAGCAACGAGTGGCCTGAAGCGGCGGGGACGGAGCCGCGGGGAATTCCTGCTTTCTCCCGCGCTGGCTGAGGAGGGGCCTGGCAGTCCAGAGAGAGAGGGACGGCTCTGCACAGACCCGGCGGAGCGGGAAGGGGGGGGGGAAGGAAGAGGAGGGATTCAGCCCCAGCGAGCTGCCCGCCTCGGAAAAAAGCAGATTACCAATTAGCCTTTTAAAAATGGCTGCTTCCAAACTGTCAGCTGGGACAGGAGGAGAGGGCTTTTAAGTAAGCAAGCGCGCGCCCCTCGCCCCATCTCGGCGGGGACGGACGGGCGGGCGAGGAACTCGGGGCCCACTTGGGGCGGGAGGTTCTGAGGGGATCCTGAGGGCGCCTCTCTCAGCCGCCCGCCCGCCTGTGGGAGGAAGAAGCATCCCTTCCACCGCCGTCCTTGCCCGGCTGTTGCTGCTTAAAGAGGGCGAGCTACAAAGGAGACTGAGAAAGGGGGGTGCGGAGAGAGGGAGATATATATATATATTGGGGGGCGGGCGGTTGAGGAGCAGCAGCAGCGTTACCCTGGGTGGGTTGAACGGGGGCATGTCGTGAGGGGAAGCGACAAGGTCAGGAAGGAGTCCATGGAAGACGGAGGCAATGAGCCCTGAGGACGACGAGGAAGAAGAGGCGGGAAGGCTGCTGCTGCTGCTGCTGGTGGCGTCGTTTCACCTGAGGGATAAACGGGAGGTGTTGTGAGGAGCCTGTGGACAGACGGAGGGGGAAGCAGGGCTTGGCGGTCTCCCTTATTTCGCACTATAGACCGAATTAACCAGTTCTCTTCAGGACACATTTTCCCCATCGGTCTCTTGTTTTGTGCTGCTTCTTTTTTTATTTTTTGAGGAGGGGGCGCGCAGTCTCTGCTCCTCCTCATCTCTGCGTTCAACTCGCTCTCTCCCTGACCTGGGTGATGTTCCTGGAGCGGCGGGGCTTGTTTTCCTCCTCGTCAGACCTGCACAAGGAACTGGGTTAATCTCGCTTCCCGGCCCGCCCGCCCCCCTCCGCGCACCGGGTCCCGGCTCTTGCGGATGTGCTCTGTGGCAAAGATGCTGGATCCTTTGGGGAAAGTCCTGCGCAGGATAGGAGGCCCTCCTGTGATCTCTGGAGCCTGGAGACCTTTTTCTTGCTCCTCCTACTGCTTCGCCACCCTTCTGGATATGCACAATTGGCTGCTTTTCTATGGATTACTGTACCTGGTACTGTATGCCCAAGTCTCCCAGTCGAAGCCTTGCGAGAGGACCTCCTGCTTCTCGGGCCGATGTCTGAATTCTACCTGCATCTGTGACCAAGGCTGGGTAGGAGACCAGTGCCAGCACTGCCAAGGCAGGTTCAAGTAAGTGTCACCATCATCTGATCATACTCTTTCCCCCCACCCCCTTTTTCCTTTTCCTGCCTTTATGTTTTATACCCAAAGTGTCTTTGCAGAAGTACAAAAACTAAAGCCGTCTGCCAAGAATCCCTAGATCATCGTGTGCTTGCTTTTAATGAGAAGACAAGGAGGAATCTGATAGGGACTTTCCCTTTGATATGATCATGAGAGCGATAATTCTATCTCCCTGAAAAAAGAGAGAAAAAGTTAATTCTTAAGGTCTTTCCTTCAAAGCAAAGGTTTTTATTCCATTTAATGTTCCTCTCCCCCAATACTGTTCATCCAAGTTCTCTCACAAAGGTGTAATATATTAATCTACACCTAACCCTGTTTAAATGCGTTTCACTCATTATCAAACTAGCCAGCTTTCTCTGAAGGTTATAGTAATCTCCAGTAATTTAAGAAACCTCGTCTGTTAAAGCAGAATGAGTGAGTCATAGACAGCAAAAGAGGATTGAAAATAGTGGTTTGGATGTGTGGTGCACACTAAGGACTGTGTGCTGTGGATATAAGTTGTAGGAGCTTGTTCATTTATATGAAACATGCTTAAAAAGAGGAACCTGTGCAGTTTTGTGGCTAGAGTTATGGAGTAAAGGTTAGTAATGCAAGGATTTCATCCCACTTCTGCTACTGATCTGAGCAGTTACTGATCTGAGCAGTTACCTTGTGCAGGTTCATTTGCTTCTGCATGCTTTCTTTTTGTGCAGTGTGTAAAAGTGGGAATCAATATTTACCTTTGTGCACTTAATTGAGATTTATAATCTAAGATAATTTTAACAGCTAGGTGTTAAAATAAGGCAACATGTGTGTATTTACACACACAATTTCTGGGCAGCTGGGAAAACCAGACATTAAAACAGCTCAACTGATAAGAGAGCTGGCTAGAATCCATATTTTACAGGAGTACAGTTTTTTGCTCATTCTCATTTTTATTGATGTACGTGGTGAGCTACTTGCTTGCTTGAGAAAGAAACATTCTGCAGAAAATGGAGGGGGGCATCAACTTTAATGGAGTATTTGTAAGAGTGAAAGTGGTTACTTAAGCAAGTTCATATTTTGATGACCAAGTTCTTGTTTGTCTTGTAACAATACACAAAATAAGTTTTTCTTACTATGTAGTTCCACTCAGAAAGTCTGCATTTAGGGATTAGAATGTGATTCCTTCAAAACAGTTAATTTTATCTGAGTGTCAACTGCATTCTATTTTATACCTTAGTCTAAGTCTCTGATAATTTAAGACAAGTAAAATTTCCAGATGATAATGTATCCCTTAGCTAATGTCTACAATAACCAGTACCTCCAGTAATGATACTATAATAGGGGGATTTTCTTGGTTGTTTAGTATTAAAGGATTTATTCTTTGTCACACACAATATTTGCATGAGGAAAGTGAAACTGACAGAGGGAACATTACCTAAAGCTTGCTTGTAGAATATTGTAATGCTTTTTCCAAGTTAGCGTTGGGAATATTTAGCTGAATGTTCAAGGTATAATTCTCCATTAGCAGAAGAGTGTTTTAATGAGGAAAACTTGAGGACTTCTGGTAAAGTATAAAAATAAACTTGCAAGTTTTTGTTTTATCTCTGTGTTGAATGACTTTGAAAGTGTTATTGATGTCATTATTGTTCTATAAATGAAAAATGGGTTTGGGATTCTGTAAATGCTGTAAAGTTAATCTGAAAAAGAAGGGTTATAATGCACCTTTATTGTAGTATTGAAGTACTTTGATATAAGATACATCTGTTTCTGTATCTGAAGCATAGCAGAACAAACCACATACCCGATAAAGTATCTCACAAGATTTGAAGTTCCATTTATTTAAAATATTTATCAATTGACTTTCCTCTAAAGGGGCATAGGGCAATGTACAACAAACATATAAGCATAACTGCATAAACAGTAA